CTTGGGTTACTTATTAATACTCGGTAAGAATAATTAATTTTGTGTTCTGCAGTGTCCCTCTTGGTACAGCCTCTGAGTATTCCTGGATCTTCTGCTTCCCTTTGTCTTTCTCTGTTGAGTTCCTTGCAGGCAGTGGAACAGTTTTTGGGTGACGGGTCAGATGTATTAATAGGCAGGCCATATGGTTCACAGACATTTTGCTCTCAACAACTTGATAGGAATTCTGGTGGCATGATTTTTGTTTTTAATTTTAACTAGAGAAGTGTAAGGACCATCTGCTATTATTTTTTTGCATGTGATCCTGGTAGGTCATTAATTTTAGTATTCTGCTCCCGTGCAATTGCACTGCTGTGCATAGAGGCTTCATGACAACGCTGGCAAGCTTCATTGTCAGTAGTGATGAGTGCAGAGTGTGTCATCCAGATTCCTGTCATGAAGTTCAGTGGGTTTGCCTACCTGCTTAGGATTTGGAGCTTCCAGTCCAGCTGGATAAATGCTTTCATTGCAATGGTCCATTTCATTGGTTAGAATAGGTCATTTACTCATTGCCATGAAACAACCCAAAACTTCAGGGAATAGTAATGTCAGCATGGGATGGGGTTGCTTTAGTTAGAATCGTGGAAGCCCTGAAGGATGAAGAGTATGAGATACAAAGAATGTGCTGACTGGTTTTTGTCAATTTAACACAAACTAGAGTGACCTGAGATGTAGGAACCTCAACTCAGAATATGCTTCCATCAGATTGGCTTGTGGGCATATCTTTGGGAGCATTTTCTTGATTGATGATCGATGTGGCAGGGTCCAATCCACTTTGAACAGTACTTCTCCCAGGCATGTGGTCCTGGGTTGTATAAGAAAGCAAATTCAGCCAGGTGTTGGTGGCGCACACCTTTAATCCCCAGCAAGCCACAGGGAGCAAGCTCACTGTGAGCGGTGTTCATGCATGGCCTCTGCTTCAGTTCTTGCCTTCAGGTTACTGCTTGCGTGCCTGCCCTAGCTCCCCTTGATGATGAACTCTAACCTATATGATGTAATAAATCATTTCCTGCCCAAGTTGCTTTTCATCATAGTGTTTTATTACAATGACATAAAAGCAAATTAAGACAGCAGTTCATAAGAGGGTAGCCAAATGCAGATTTGAACTAAGAGAATTCCAAGGGGAAGGAAGGTTAATAGCAAAGACACTGGGCAGGAAATGAACAGGGTGCAGGAGATGCCACTGGGCCACACTGCAGTGAGAGAGAAGTGCATGCAGCTTGCAGTGATGTCTATTGTGTGTGTAACAGGATTCACAAGTGGGGAAGTGATGCCATCTTAGTTTTGGGATACTTACCCTGCCCAGTGATGGAAATGGATTATTATGGAGGAAGAGCAGCAGGGTGACTGGCTAGGGGGCTTGGCTGCTCTGTGCAAGAGATTGATGGCTAAAATTGCATGGTGTAGGCACTAAGAAATGGTAACTGTTGGGATGTGTCCCAGGTGGAAGTCTCTGGTACACACTGAGTCTTAGGTGTTGAGTGTGAGTATCTAGGTGATGGCTGGGATGCTCAGATATGGAGAGAGTGATGGTTTGCTTTTGGCTAAGTTTGGGTAGCTAACGGTCACCCACAGAGGTGGAGCTCTCTAGTAGGCATATGAGCCTGAGTGTGAGATGGGAGTTGAAGGCTTAGTTATTTAAATTTCCTAAAAGTCAAGAGCACAACAAAGAGACTTGGATCTAGGCCAGGACTTCACCATTTCAGGATACATATGCATCAGAAAGAGATGCTAGCAGAGGACACTGGCATGGGTACTCAGAGAGGCTGGAGAACCCAGGTGCTGGGAGGAACCTGGAAGGAAAAGTATCTTCAGAGGCTGGCAGATAGTGGTCCCACCAAGGCCCAAATACCAGTGTCTAGTAGCTACACAGCAGTGTTACTTGAATTTTGTTCTGTAGCTGCAAACATGAGAGCAGGCAGGTCTGTTGCCTGTCCAGAATCCTCAGCCATTGCAGCATTAGAAACATTACAATCTTGTCTCTTTGGGGATTCTGCAGAAGGGTCTTTGTTCCTGTTTTGGTCAGAATTCATGACATATTCTTTCTATTAAAACGTGGAAGGGAGGAGAGGAGAGGGCAAACGTATATACAACTGGTACAAGTCAATTCTCTGACAACATTCAACAATGATACTAATCTCTCTCTTTCTTAATTCTTCAAGGTTCACTAAAAATAAACCAGAAACTTGTATAGTAGTCAAGTGCATGAAGGACACGGAATGCTTACATTTTAAACTAATGTGCTAGTTCTGATGAGACAGATCCTGGAACAAACTGTTTGCAGAGTTTCATCTTAGTGTCAACCAGCCATAAAATCTTGAAGGCGGTTGCTTTTTTGATGTCATTTAGAAGTGTCATGTTTGTCAATTGGTAATTGGTCATTGATACCATTTTCCAAAGGGAGTGGTGAATTCTTGTTTTGTTCCTCTGTTAAAGGAAAATATATGGCATGACAGAAAGCATTTACATTTGATGGCAAGCTGGCCATGCTATCATTCTGTACTGTACATCATCATTCACTAAGTCCTTTTCCCTGCTGCACTGAAGGCAGGATGTGCTGTGGACAGCACAGTCTACTATAGTTGGGGTTTCTTTTCCACTTGGTTCCTCAGCCAATTAGCCTCAAATAAGCACACAGACACACACTAATTATTAAACTGTTGGCCAATGACTCAGGCTTCTTACTGGCTAGCTCTCTTTTAATTATTAACCCATTTCTATTAAACTATGTATTGCCATGAGGCCATGGTTTACCTGTAATTTGAATTTGGCATGTTACTCCTCCAGTTCTCTCTCTCCCTCTCCCTCCCTCTCTCTCTCCCTCTCTCCCTCTAGCTCTCTCTCTCCCTCTCCCTCTCCCTCTCCCTCTCCCCCCCTCTCTCTTGGCTTCTCTTCAGCATTCTCCTCATCTAGTTGCCCCGCCTATACTTCCTGCCTGGCTACTGGGCAATCATTGTTTTATTCATCAACCAATAAGAGAAACATATATACAGAAGAACAGCCCCCATTAGTCTACACTGCTGTTCTCTCTAAATTTGGAGCAATAGTAAAATTGTTTTAGGTTTCTAGAGGGTTCAGTGGACAACTTAGGCAAATTCTGTAAATGTTCCCTCCCATTGTTTTTTAGTGCACAGGTTGAACCCCAGGGCCTCATAAATGCTAGGCAAGAGCTCCCCCACTCAGATATGCCCTGAGCCCTCTGTAAATGTTTACTTTTACTTGGTGCTCTCTTGGTACTTGTCAAATTTTTAAAAAGTTTTTTTTTTAACATTTTAAATTGTTCTTAAGGTATATGCATGTGTGGATGTGTGCACGCAAGTACTGATGCCCAAGGAGGCCAGAAGAGCATCTTGGATCCCAGGGAGCTGGAGTTTCAGGCAGTTGTAAGTGCCTGACATGGGTGCTGGGAACTGAACTTGGGTGCCCTTTAAGAGCAATACTCACTCCTAACCAAGCTGAATCTCTCCAGCCCCTGATATTTGGTTGAGTTTGAAAATGGATAAAACTAATGAGAAAGTTAGCCGAGGATTTAGGTAAAGAATATTTCTTGGTTATCCCATCAAACATCTGGTTTATTAACCAAAGAGTACACAGTTGTGAATAAAACATAAGAAACTATCCCTTTCTGTATATTTTTTTATAAGAATGACTATAGTTCTGCCTTGTGTATAAAGCAAACCTCTTCCCTCTCCTCTTTCTTATATTGTCTAAAATTTCTCCATTCTTCTAAGATCAATTTACTAGTAGCTTGTTTACCTGGCTGGTTCAATTCTGTTTTCAGAGACTAAAGCTCAAACATAAGGCATTGAGCATAGGATTTCACCTCCGGTTGCCCGGACCCATGGTGATGAATGAGTAGCCATCAAGTCTTTCTGATGCCTTGTGCTCACTGGTGTGAGGGTTATAGGATGTAACAGGCCTTGTTCTTTGAGCTCTGAAGAACAGCTGTCTCCTCAAGGAGCCAGTCTGCCCTTGACTCGTAGGAGGTATGTTTTTTAGCCCTCCTCTCTGCTCTCTTTCCTCTGTCTTCCTCTTTGTGGTTTGTGGATCAGGCTGTGAGAGGAGAGTTTCTGTTTACCTGGGCACTGCTGGCAGAGGGAACTGCAGTTTGGATCAGTGTCTTAACCACTTTCCCCCAGTGTTCAGTGTTGTACCTGATGCTGAGATTCCTGTTGGTCCATATTGAACAGTGATGGCCAGGCAGAAGGGTCTACTTGGTAGTGTGGGAGAGCTCCTGCTCTCCCTCCCCAGGGATGGAGGTTTCTTTGAATTTTACATAGGCGGTTGCCAACCAAACCCCTAAACAATCCCCCTCCCCTGAATTTCTTGTTTTCTTGCATAGAAAGACTCCTTTGTTTCGGAGGTTTCAGTTTAGGCATTGCTTCTGCATGGCAAGGAAACTGAATTGTGTGGGACAATAACAGCTGGGCTGTCTCTCTACATGAACCGGCCTCTGATTTTCTTGCTAGTTTGTGACATCCTCTTGTTCCTGACTATACCGGACCCTTGGCATTCTGTTCATCCCATGTCTAGAATGTTCTTCCCTATCATTTTTCTGACAGGAATCTTTCTGAACTTTTCATGAGCCTCTGAGTTGAAACATCTGTGGCCAACCCTTCCTTGCCAGCTCTGTCATCTGTGTCACCTTACTCCATACCTGGGCGCTCTGTGTTTTCCTGTGTCTATATTCTTGCATACCTGCTATCAGTTCCACTTAATGGAAAAATTCACAAACTCGGGAAAGTTGTCTCAGATTTAGGAATTTGTGCTTTCAAGCCCTTGACATTCACACATACAGCATGCATATGGCTCATGCCGTAAAGGTTCCATGGTGAGGGAGAGGACTCCCTTGCAGAGTGGGTTGTGATTTAGTTGCCTGTGGCCTAACTACTACCAATATTAGTGCTTTTTAGACCTAAACCCCTAATGTGTTTTCTCCACCCCTTTCTTTCATCTGCTTTCAGCAAGGGAAGCCATATGTATTTGACAGAGTGCTGCCGCCCAACACAACCCAAGAGCAGGTCTACAATGCCTGTGCGAAGCAGATTGTCAAAGGTAAGTGGCACTTTATTTCCTCCTGGGCTTTCACTAATGAAAACATAAAGTGACATTTACTGCCTGGCAATCAGTGTGCCTCGACTGTAAGCAGAGGCCCGTTAATTGGAAACACTAAATTGCTGCCTTGGCACTGGCCTTGACTTGCTGAGATGTCCTTCATGTTATTCGGCCTCTGTGTTTGTTTTCTTTGTTTCCTTTGCCACCTCTTTGGTGGTGTTATTCTGCTATACAAGCTGGAAAGGCAATGTAAGCTGTGGTAGCAGTGTTTCTGTCTTGGTCTAAAGAAACTTCAGGTCGAGTGCTCCTCTCTCTTTTGAAGGAGGAAATACATTGCTCCGTGCTTTAGTTATACATTGTTGGCTGCTTTCTTTTACCTAAGACTATGAGAATGGAGTCTCTCAGGTTAGAGATTGCTCTTGCCATCCAAGGATATTCTACAGGGTCATGAAGCCCTATTATTGAGGTGGCTGTGGAGCTATTTGTGCCGTGCAACATCCCTTAATTTTCAATTTCATCTAACCCACTTTCATGCATCCCATCACAGCCCAACATTTGTTTCTCCAAACAGGTAGCCTCGAGCTTGCCTGTGTGTCTCAGAGATGAGTTCTTTTTGCTGGGGCTGGCCTTGGCCCTGGAGGATCTGTGTCAAAATAACAGCAGGGCGATGAAGCAATTTGCACATTGCTCTCCCTTGCCCTTTCAAAGCAGGAACAGGTTGAAGCATGCTGAGGCAGGGCCTGCCATCTGGACAGAGCTGAGGGGCATCTCCTGCTTCCTTGCTTTTCATCATCAAATCCTCACCTTCCGATTGGAATGCCATGGCCGTGAACATGCTCAAAGGTCTTGATAACCCATGTAGGCAGCCATGGATTTGAAAGACAGAAGCATTTTTTTTTTCTGCTTTGGATCTGTTGTTTTCAGGAGCTGAGCTGACTAACCTATTTGAAATTCATGAAATTCAGCCCTGGTACATCTGTTAGATTAATTCTGACCCCAGACACCTGCGTGGGAGACTCAACGTCAGCATGCAATGTTCCTTGCTGGGATGTGTGTTTATTCACATTCTTGTTACAAACATCAATTCATTTGGAAGATTTTCTCAGTTGGATCATTATAGAAGACTGACAAGGAAAAATATGCCTGGATTGGAGCTGTTTTGAATGAACAGTTTTGGCCCTACAGGCAGTGGTCACTCTTGTGTTTTTCCCCCTTTGCCTCTCTGAGTATTTTCTCTGTTTTTGAAGTATGTCTTCCTTGGCTTGCTCCTACTCAAGCCCGCCTCCCCCCTGTGATTGAGCTTGTGTGTAGTTTTTTTTTATTTATTATTATTATAGTAAGATTAATCACACGTGCCAGGATGTCCTGTTCTTCCCCCTCCCCCAATTTCATTATCAGAAGCAAATAGTGTTTACCACATGCTGTACTAAGCATGAAGGCCATTTAAATACATCCAGCTACCTCTGTGCCAATGTAATTAGAAATGGATGCACTCCATTAAAAAAAAAAATCAACCCTGTGATTAACAAACAGTAGTAATCGTCTTTGGGTTTTTATTCAGTAGTATTCTCCTTTCAATGTTTAGATTTTTTTTTTTTTAGTATGAGATGTCAGAAATAGACAATTTCATTACCATTAATGTGTACACTTTTTGTGGTTTATATGTATCAGCCAATACCTAAATGAAAAAAAACAAAACAAAACAAAAACCAAAAGACACCAGTCTCTGTGAAGACATGGCCTAACCCTAGGTAACTTGCTACCCTACATAGATGGTGATCTACAAAGAAGAAGAACAGGGCTTAGCCTATGATAAACAGACACCTCCAGGGCACTATGGCTATAATGTGAATATGTTCATTTGGTAGCAATGAAGAATACCTTATTCTCCTATGAAAAGAAATTGTTAGGGTGACAAAGGCCTGATTGGGCATTTGTTAAACCTTTAAAAAATAGACTACCTTTTATTTTTTCTTCTCACTCATGTAACAATACATCTTGATTATTTGTTCCTCTGACTCCTCGCCTCCACTCTCCCATGGAACCCTCAACTCCTCAGTCCCAGTTTTCCAGAAACCCCTAACCCATCCCTTCCTCCCACCCACCCCATGTACCTCCAATGTGTTTCCCTCACAACCTCATGTCCTCCCCACTCCCTTTCTGTTGGACACTGAGTCCAATTAGTGATGCTTGTTGGAGTGTTGACTCATCCTAACTGCAGTGAGCTTCTGAGTGCAATGGCCTGTCGTGTTCTGAAGACAGCTTTCACTTGTCATTCCCAAACTCTTCCTGCCACTCCATGATGTTTTCTAAGCTCTGAAGGATGTGGGAGTTAAATATCCCCTGGAGGCTGACCACTTCCTTGCCGAGCCACTTATTCTCAGCACTTTGATCAGTTACAGGTCTCTACTTTAGCTATGCTTACTGCAGAGAGAAGCCAAGACTGAGGTCAGCATAATCGATGGGTATAGGCATAAATATTTATAAGGCAGTTTGACTGTATGACTGTTTAGCAAAACAACAATAGCATGCTCTTCCTAAGGGCCTGTGACCTCCTGAGCTATGGGAAAAGCCAGTTTTAAAGTATCAGGCCTAAATTCCTCCCTGTGATGCAGGTCTCAACTCTAAGCCAAAACCAGTTGGTTGCCCTTATAACCTTCATGTCACTATTGTACCATCAGGTGAGTTTTGCCTGGCAAGTTGGTATTGTAGCATGGAGGGTTGGCTGCAGGAATACTATTGAATACTATCTTTTCTCCCCCAATGGCCTGTGTAACACCTTCTGGTACTATTAAGCTAGCCAGCAGGGAGGAAGCTCCCAGAACAGTTCCAGCTGATTTCTCTATGTTGTTCAACCAGTGTGCTGGTGTTTTCAGCAATACAGTCTTATCATCTAGTTGTGTTGCATAACCAAGAACAATGGCAAAGCTTTGTTGTTCCGGGGGCCTCCCTGACAAATACCTTGTAGTGAGAAACCCATGCTTAGTACTGAGATTTCATTTAATAACTTATGTTCTCTAGGGGGATCATGGTTCATTCTTGCAGGGTATCTGTGTTCAAACTTGTGTGTGTGTGTGTGTGTGTGTGTGTGTGTGTGTGTTTAATTTTGTTTTTCAATGAACTTACAAAGTACTGGGTTTCCATGGAGGTTCTTTGTCCATCCTTAGTTTTGTTTAGCTCACCCTGCCCAGCTTCTCTCTCTTCATTTCCTATCCCCATACCTATTAAAAACCTTAAATCCCTGGGTCCTCTCCCCTTCATATTGTGTTTTCTTCTAACCCACTCTTCCTCTTAAGAGCTCTTCACATCTCCCTTTTACAGGCTCTTTCTATCTTCCTGGGCTCTATTGATACCTGACAGAAATTTTCAAAGTAACCTCCAGGGCTGCTGTGAAAGGAAGTGATTTTCCTTTCTGCAGCATCAATGTAAAGTGTACATATACAAGCAAGACCTTCTCGGAGTACATAACGTAGCATAGCTGTGTTATCTCCTGTCATAAGAGCCCCACCTAAGCTAGGACTGGGGCAGGGTACCATGGACATTTTCTCTAGAGACTGAGATGTGAATCAGGGGATTCTGAAGACCATCATAGTCCTCATTCATGATGCTGTCACGGGCTGGAGACTTCTACTTTCTAGTCTATCCAAAACCCTCAATGTCTCTGAGGGTCTATTAGCAATTGCAGAGCCCTGGCATTTCCCACACTCCCATCATTGGTGTGGTTTTCAAAATGTTGGCTGACAGAGCATGTGGATCTCTCCATTTCTGTGGGAAGAGGTTGTAAGGTTTATGATTATAATTGCAGTCAATAAGGCTTCTGTGGGTGCCTAGGCATTAAACACCATGGTTACTGGATCTTATTGTTGATCCTGGTAACTGTATCCTAGCCAGCAGAAGCTGCTCTGGGCATTTGCCTTCCAAATAAACTAAATATGGATTATCCAAATGCTGGAGAAGGTGGTTTCTGATTTTCCAGTTTGATTTCTTTAAAATATAATTATTTATTTATACAAGTGATATTAAGTGCTTAGTGTGTGATAAGCACTGCCAGGGACTGGAGTCACTAAAACTTCTAAGACTGTCTGCTAGGAGTTCTCAGTATACAGGAAGAGGCAAATGCATATACCATTATCATGCACTTTGCAGGCATTCTGTAGGTTAAGATGGGTGTGCACACTGCTAGGACAGCACAGAGCAGAGCCACTTTGTGCTGATTTGGGTGAATGTGGAGAATTAAAGAAAGGTTGGGCTCTGAGGACTATAGATTTTAGTGGAGCTGGAAGCAGAGGAAACTGTAAGAGCATAAAGACACAAATGGTGTGGCATGCTTTGGTAGTTCAGAGGGCGTGGCGTAAGGTGTTGACTACATGATGGGAAATGAGGTTGCAAAAGTCAGTCCTGAGCCTCTGCTGGACATTCTGGACTTTATCCCGTAGGCAGTGGGGGCAGACAGAAAAGCTTTAAGCTTAGGAAGATATACTCAAATCTATTTTGTTATTCCATATAACTCCTAAAGAACTATGCTTAGCTCTGTATTATGCTATTTATGTTTTGCATCTAGAAGCTTCAGTTTATGAAGTATGAACATTATTATTCCCACCATATTAAAGTGGAATTTGATGCTCAGAGATTGAAGCACTTTGGCCAAAGCTAGAGGAACCAGTGGGTCTGAGACTTGGTTTGTGACTGCCTGACTTCTGAATTATCTTGCCTTTCCTTTCTTATGGGCCCACAATGAGCATTTAAACAAACACAGTCATCAAGTATTTTATGAGTTGTTCTTTTTCAATCAGGCCATATGGACTATTAACCAACAGTCCAAAATGACAGGGATAGGGGTGCGTGTGGGAGGACAATAGAGGAGAAAGAATAGCCATTGAGGTCCCACAGCCTTGTGCTGGCCAGTTGTAGGGAGCGTTTCCATTCTGAAATGCAGTGTGCTTTTGCTTGGGAGTGGTGTCACTTCAGACAGAGTGTCACCAGGGTATGGAAATAGCCATTCTACTCAACAGAGACTAACACAAATGTTTTTCTCAGGCCTAGGAAATGTCTGCCATTTACTGAGATGAAAGTGTTTTGTGACCACTGGTGTACAGAGCTTGGATGGTCACTCTACAGCCATGGCCAACTTGAGTTGTTTGGTTGGTTGATAAGAATCAAATGTATTTCTCAGGTCCAGGAGCTGTCTGTTGATTAACTGCAATGAAAAGTGTCTGTCTTTTTGTGGAGCTTTCAGTTGGGGGTTACAGCATGGCCCAGGAGGTGGCATGGGGCTCTGTACAGAGCCAGTGCCTTGGATCTTCCCTCAGCAGATTCTGGGCTAGCTTTCTCTTGCCTTTACCCTCCACTAAACGTAAACCATAGACTAAATAAACAAACATGTCCTCTCACACCTGAGAAAATAGACAACCCTAGATTAACCTTATCTTTTCAAATTATCTTTTAGTTCAAAATTGAGTCCATAGAGGGCAACACCAGCTACATTCAATTTTGATCGAGGAGATGTTCTCCAAAAATGTATTAGCCCGCAAGATGATTCTCAGGTATTTTAAAGACCAATCAGAGTTTGTTTTAGTGGATTTAAGTGTTCTCTATTACAAAAAAGAAGGAAATTGTGCTCGGTGTTGACATAATAAAGAGAATGGATTTTCTTGAGTGCAGTCCCACATGCCTCTCGGCAACTTAGCGCCAAATAAGGCAGCACCACTCATGCATGTTCCTGTTTTTATTTTTTTTCACCTTTGCTACTGTCACATTTTTATTGAAGGAAGTCATGAGTCTTAATACAACTCTATTACAATAGGAACCTCAAAAGATGATTTTTTAAAAACATGTATCTCCCTGGTCCCAGGTTGTAAGAGTTAGATGCTCCCCTTTTTTTCCTTTTATTTATTCTTTCATACAAAAATCCAGACTAAACATGTTTATTTAGTGTGTGCGTACGAACACACACACACACACACACACACACACACACACACACACACACACACAAACACACACGCTCATACACACGCGCACACACACACACACACACACACACTCACACACCCCCACACCCCACAACACACACACACACACACACACACACACACACACACTCACTCACACACCCCCACACCCCCCCCACACACTTCCCCTCTCCCCCAGAACCATTCCTCCTCCATTTTCCTTCAGAAAAGAGCAGGCCTCCTAGGAATATCAATTGAACATGGCATAACAAGTTACAATAAGTCTAGGTGCAAATCTTCATATCAAGGCTGGACAAGGCAACCCAGGAGGAGGAAAAGGGTCCTAAGAGCAGTACTCAGTCCACAACCACAGAACAAAGAATAGAGACTGTCTAGTTGACAAAACTTTGTGCTGTGTTGGCAAGAGTGGCTCAGAGGTCTCATGGAGATGCCAGCTTCCTTCTCTCTGGCAGAGGAAGAGGTGTGAGTTGGATTTAGTCTCTGAAGTCAGTTTCCTTTAGGGTGTGGCAGGTTGCTCAGAGACACTGCATACGGTTACTGCAGAAAGCAGGGTGCCACACACGGGAAGGACAGGAGCTAGGTCAAGAGCCGAATGGGTGTTGGCCCCAGCCTAGATTGGGATGCCTACATATACAGGAGGGTAAAGTAAGAAAGGCTCTTCCTTTAGTTTGAGGAGAGGTATTTAATTTCTAATAAAGGAAGGTTTTCTGTAGTGACAGTGTGTGGTGTTCTAGTTGTCTGCAGTAGTTTGTGTTATGACTATTGACTTTTGAAAGCACAACTGAAGGATGGAGCCTCTTTCTTTGGGTCCCTCAAAGCACATTTTTGTGGTGGTGTGGAGGCACACTGCCAGGTGCTGTCTCCACCCATGAGGACTCTTTTCTCTGAGAGTTGACATTTTCATGGAAACTGAAGCTTAAACCTCTACCCCTAACACTGACTTCTTCCGTGTTTTCTTTTTCTTCCTGTTGTTACCAGGGAAACCACCCTCAAAAACCATTTCTAGAAGACTGATATATGTAAGAATTCCCACCCCCAGCTTGATGCAACTCTTTTTGAAAAAAAATAAACCTTTGTATTGATTCTTTGTGGATTTCTCGCCATGCATCCCGATCTTACACATCTCCTCATCCACTCGATTCTGCCTTATGCCTTTGCAACCTTCTCCACAAAACAAAATTTAGAAGTAAAACCCAAAAAAACACCCCCCAAAACAAAACAAACAAACAAACAAAAACAAATAAAAAAATCTTGGCATAGAAGCTGCAGTGTTGCCCAGTGAGTCCCTCACACAGTGTAGCCTTTAGTCCATTCAGCTTAACTTGCAAGTGTTTATTGCACTGAGTCTGGTTCAAAGCCTCTGACTTCTCCTACACCCTTGATACACCCTCCCTGAGACTTCTCGTGGATATCCTATTGTTGCCTTGTGTGATGGAGACCCTATAGCAGGTCCAGCCCCTTCACATGCTCCAGCAGTTCATAATTGGGGTAGGTTACCTAGTAGTCCTGGTTCTGGGTCTGGGTGGTAGCTGGGTTGGTCGGCTTGCCCAGCTGTCCCTCATCATCACCACCCAGGTGAGCACTCCAACACTGCCTCAGCTAACTAACCCAATGATGCAAACTCTTCAAGGCTGCTAGGATTTTTTTTTAACTTATTGATTATTTTTTGTTTCCAGTTTTTAACTCCCTGAAGGAAAATCCTTTCTTCTCTGATCTTAAGTTATACTCTAATAATCTCGGATTAGTAAAATATGTATGCTAAAAAAAAAAAAAAAAGCCTAGCAAGCAAAACAAAAACCCAGCATTATAAAATTCAGAGAGGAGACCATCCCAATCTGAAAGAGTTGACTGGCTGGCATCCTTTTCTCACATGGCCCCAAGTAGCATCCTCTGTATGGGGCACTCCTCCTTGCCCTCACCATGAGCCACATTAGCATCTTCTGTATAGGGCAACTGTCCTTGCCCTCACCATCAGCCACATTGAGAGTTCCTCCCTTGGTGCAGAGTGGTGGGTCAAGGATATTAATTATGCATTGCTTCCCTCTCTGTGACAGCTGTATAGATGAGGGGAAGGCAGGAGGGAATATGTTTTAATCACCTCTGCTGCTTGGGAAGAATTCCCACAGTTGATCTTCAGCTCTGCAACATGAAGCAGCCCCCACCTGCACGCCTCCTCTCATCCCTGTGTGAAACGGAAGCCAGCCTGCCATGCTCGTGGGCTTCCCCAGCATGCTTATTGTGTAATTAAGAGAAATTCCTGATGTTGATGGGCCCAGGCTTCCCTGCTAGCAATGCAGGGAAAAAAGAAAAACAAAAAAACCCCAAAAAACAGGCATTAAGTTGAAATCAGGCCTGCTGGTTTCCAGGCTGATTGGATTGTCTGTGGGGCCCAGTTTGCAGGGTAGTGTCTGTTCTGATGGGCCTCTGGTGGGATCTTCATGGGAAATGGCCCGGAGGATCCAGATTTAAGCTGACCCAGACCAAACCTTCAGGCAAGACATTCTGCTGTAATCTCCAGAAACTAAAAGCCTGCTTGCCTTTCCTCCTCAGTGATCTCAAGAGAGCAAAATATAGACCAAAGCTTCAAGTAGCTAAAAATGGCTTTACCCCTTCAGACATGCAGTCTGTAGAAATGTGAGTCCCCTTCTTGGTATTTGTGGGACAGCAGACTTATTTCTGTCCTTATTTCACAATCATACTTAAAAAGCACATGCAGTTGGCACATATCATTTGTGTAAGAATGAGATTCGGGCCATTTGGAAACTGTAACTTTGACTCATGCAACCAATACCAGTGTAGGATCAAAGTAATGAATTAATTTGAATCTATTTTATGTTTGCAGATGTCCTTGAGGGTTATAATGGGACCATCTTTGCATATGGGCAGACTTCATCAGGAAAAACCCATACCATGGAGGTAAGTTTGCATTGTCAGTGTCTGAAGTGGCTGTTGCTTTGTGACAGCAGAGATGGTTAGGTTAGGGAGTTTTAAAGTAGCTGGACAGTGGTGGCTCATGCCTTTAATCTGAGCACTTGGAAGACAGAGGCAGGTGGATCTCTGTGAGTTCAAGGCCAGCCTGATCTATAAAGTGAGTTCCAAGACAGCCAGGGTTGTTACACAGAGAAACCCTGTCCTGAAATGAATGAATGAATGAATGAATGAATGAAGTAGCAGTGAGTAATAAGATTTCAAGAATTTAGTTTTCAAAAAGCCTTTGTTGATCTCTCTGTCCAATTGAAACAATACATTTCTTGAATAAAAGGAGTCAGGGTATAGCTTAGTGGCAAAGAGCTTTCCTAGCTTGCAGGAGGCCCTGGATTAGATTCCCAGCATAAAACACACACACACACACACACACACACACACACACACACACACACACACACACACACCCCACTGTCGTCAGTAGGTCATCAGTAGTGTGGAACCTTATGGATTGCAGTCCACCCTAATTGCCTAACTGACAGGACCTATAGCAAAAGTCTTTTGCCCTTTGGAGGGCAAATGGGGAAGCCAGGCTTTTTATAATAAAAACAAAACACCAAAATCAAAACCCTGTAGGTCAGAGACGTAAAAGAGGTTGGCTTTAAAACCAAATTTAGCCTATGGGCTTACTTTTATCTGACTTGTACGATGTCTGTCTGTATGTATGAATGTATAAATTTAATTGCCGACAGTCTTTAAAAATGGGATGAGTTCACACAATTCTAATTTTTTTACAATTCTGATTTTTCCATTTTCTTAATTGAACAATAAAGATTTTGTAGAGCTGGATGAATTTTAGGATAGCAGAAACTGCATTTTCTTAGAGGAGGAATCTTCATTGTCTTGTTCATCTTTGTGGTCTTTTTTCTTTTCTTTATTTTTGTTGCTTGGGCTCGAACCAGGGCCTTATGCATCCTAAGCAAATGCTTTGCCACTGAGCTATGTTCCTAGCCTTTGTCTGCCTTCTTATTAACAAATGTGTAGTTGCCACTGAGAAGAGGCCACATAAAATATTTGTTAAGACAGTACCAGTGTGGTGGCTCTGACCACCCTATGTGTATGGTAGGTTCTCCAATAGGTCCCAGTGTACTTTGCCCACAACCAGAGTGAATGTGAACTGATACATACTTTCTAATGTGAACTGCTGTGCACCTTCGGATGTAGGTATACTTGTGCACCTTCTTCTGAAAGGTATACTTCAGGCCTATGCCAGCACTGGAAGGATTGGCCCTCTTATGCTTTGTCTTCAGAGCTTGGTGGCTTCAGGCTGTCTTCCAAATGGGAACCCTTTCTTGCCTCCTTTTCTACTTTTTACCTGGGACTCCTAAAGGCCTTTGATGCTGGATAATTTATCCAAAGGCTAGGCCTACCTGACAGGTGAGGAGAGTCAAAACTGGTTAGTTATTCCATGAAACAGCACTGAGAAAATTTGGAGAATTCAGCTTACAAGCAGCAGGGTAGAATGAATCCTTAATCCTTCAAGCTGAGGTTTTCTCATTTATGAATCCCTCCTGGGAACAGCAGTGAGACGGCTGCTGCAGAATAGGTTTAGCTCATGAATCATTCCTATTGAAGAGGAGATTTCAAAGGCATGAGGCTAAAATCTTCAGAGCTCTGATGTTCTGGGCACTGAATTGAGTGTGGGCTGGGATGCTGGGGGATCTCGTTTCCGTGGTGTTGACTTTCTTTTGCCCATTTTGCTGAAGACAAAGTGGTTTGGAGACTGTGCAAATTAAAGAAACATGAGGCTCACTTGCCTCATCAAGACTGTTGCCCAAACATGGGCTCTGTTAGCCACTTGTCTCCACACCTCACACCCCCAGCAGTACATTGCAGAAGACTGGGCTTCATGTCTCCACTCTCCACTTTGCCCCCTCATCTGTCTCTCTCTTCAGGGCCCACAGGCCCTTGATTTTGCAGGTAGGTACTAGCCAAGTTTAATTGCATACTTTCCCAGCCCCACTTTTTCTGAAAGTGGAGGATAGAGGATGGAAGAAGGAGAGAACAACATGTTCTCAAGAGGGAATCCATCAATTTTTAGGTTTTTAAAAAGTTAAAAGGTGTGTGCAACATGAGAGGAAAATCCTTTACTATTTTAAATCACTAAGCTATTAGGGAATGCTTACAAGAGCGAATGCTAAGGCTTAGGATTCATTTATCATTGAGAAATGCAAAGTATTTGCTAAATGTCAGGAAGCTAAAAATTGGAGACATTAAGAGATACTGCCCTGCAGAGGAAGACTCTGGAAGAAAGTGACTAGGTGTAGGAAGGGGTGTGCTGGTCCTCCAGTGCTGGTGTGGGGACACTTTGTAAAATGAGATTGTCCAGAGCCTTTGGGGCCTTTTCAGTGTAAATTCAACTCATCTGCCTTGAGCACACTCCTTGGGGGACATGAGCGGAACTGGATTCCACACTGATCTCATCTAAGGTCCCCGAATGCTGTCACCTATTTGTCAGTTGTCACGAGTTACTTCTTTGTTGTGACTTCTGCGGCTGGAAGGAGTTGACTGAATCTTTTCCCTGTCACCCAGCACCTATGCTGGATCCTGTTCTTTTATGGGTGCTGGAAGACTGGAGGAAGGTAGGAGGTCTGCTAAGAGAAGACCAGAGCAAAGGGGCTGCTGCAAGCTGCAGTCATAGACTGCAGGAAACAGCAATTCAGGACCCTGGAATGCAATTAAATAAGAATGTTCTTCAGGGTTTGTGTCTCCTAAAAGAGACACAAATTCTATATATTCAGAATTCTACACAGGATCCTTCAAAGGCATTCAGGAAGGATGTTAGTTCCCTGAGGGAAAGACTGTCACATTTTAAAGCAGTTTTTTTTTTTTTTTTAAGCATTTTAATCCCCCTATTTTGGGCCTGGCATCCAGTGGTATTGCCTTTATCTTCTGTTAAAGAGAATAACACATAATCCTCCATAAAATTGGAAAGATTAGCTTCTCATGATGTTGCATTTAAGGGGGCTTTTCAGGTTAAATAGGACCCGCTGGATAATACTGGGCCTGAGGACAGTAGCTAACCGTCATGCAAGGACCACAGACTTGTCAGGAGAATTTGCAGGTTCATAGAGAGGATGGTGGGTGCTGGCTGCAGACAGGCAGAGAGTGGGAGTTGTCTCATTGGTTGGACCCTGTCTGATGTCTGAAAGAGCTGTTTCTTGGTTTGTGCCCTCAGTGGACCTCTTCAGCATGCCTAGTAGATGGCTGAGGAAACCTTCTGGTTTCCTTTCTGTTCAGAGGGACATCTGGGGACTATAGGAATCATATAGTCTTTCTGGCCACCTTGTAAACCAGTCTGATGATTCCTAACAAAATCAAGAGTGCATGGCGTTCACACACTGCAGGTCTCTTGCTTTCCCTTTTTCAGTGTTTGAGGAAGCTGTGGATGCCATTGAGGCTACTGGCAGAGAACAAAGGGTGTCTTGTTGAGTGGCCAATGGGCTGTGTCTTGTTTTTCCTCTGTACCTACTCCTAGAAGGCTATATTCAGCTAGAAGTTTCTGAAGACAGTCCTGTAGAACATAGCTATGAAGTGTTTGTCCTATTTGCTCCCTTGGAAGAACAACAGATAGCAGCGCACTTCTTTGTACTGTGCCCCTTATTCCTGAGCCAGACTATACTTTGGCTGCCTTTGGTAGGGCATGCTTAGTCTCATTTCCTGTTTTTGCTGCTGACAGCCCACCCCTTCTGCCACAGCCTCTATTCAGCCTAGATTTCAATCATCCCATACAATTTGGGGGTTCCCATCTCTACTACCTGAGCTGCAAGGGCCTTCATGTTCACTGAATTCACCTCTGTTCATAGTCTGCTGACCACGTTGTGTCTGTGCATGTGTGTTTCATCTGGAAGCAGTTAACTTGGAAACAGTAAGATCTTTATACACACACACACACACACACACACACACACACACACACATTCACATGCACATGGGTATTCTATATATAATATGCATACATTTTCCATATATCACACAAGAAGTATCCTACATTTACCACACACATAGGGTATAAACATAGACACAACACACTTATGCAGGGGCACTCCACATATCCATATATGTGCCACACATACATTACATACTCACCACACAGATAGAGCATGTACCATACAGATATCCTTCATATCTATGCATCACAAACATATATATTATGCCCCCATATATATTTACATATATACACATATATACATACATATATATGTATTATGTATACATACATACATACATATATATATATATATACACACACAGTATAAATCTCTCTTCACATTGTCCCATAGTAAACACATATCTCATGTACATCATACCCTCCCATATACCACACATATATTCCACATATACTTACACACTCCCCATAAAATATTTAATATTATATACACATTCACTACCTCCCCTGGGTTATTTTGGCAGGCTAATTTTAAGTCAGTTATCAATAAAAGATGATCTGTTGGGAGAGAATGATCTAGGAAACACATTTGAGTCAATTTTAATGATTTTTAGATTACCAGTTATTCTTCTCTGGTTTGGACCAATGAGAAGAATCTAAAGAGTTATCATGGATTATTCAAGAGCCCTGGAGGTTTGGGTAGAAAAGATTTTTGATTGACTGAATGAGACAGTGAAATTTAACTGGAAGGAAATCTATCTTTTTATCATAGGAATCTTTTTGGATGATAGTCTCTGCAGTGCAGAGTACATATAGTCATAGTCAGTTTTCTTTGTATTTATGATGGACTATGTGATTTAAACGTGGTGAAAATTTGAAACCTAAGATTCAGTTATTGGTGCTGTTTTCCTAAGATAACATGCAATAATAGTCTGGAGTAGAACATTGTTTTAGAACTTCTGTGGTCAAATCAGCCTCACCCCAGCTTAGAGACAGCCTGTTGGGAGCTGCATTTTATAATGCTAACATTTATTGAGTCCTGTGCTGGTGAACACTGTATGTATTTTATTGAATTTAAACTCTGCCCTAATTTTATACAGTAAGTACTTTGCTCAGTCTCCTGAGTGTTAGGCCAACCCTATTTTTAGTGTGTCTTAGAACCAAACTAAAACACAATGTAAATAAATCATCTGATTTATTGTTCTTGATAGATGAGGGCAGCATGCCAGAATAGCCAGATAAGAGGGTAGCCAGGAATGTCTGAAGTTGCATACCTTTTGCTTTTTAATAGAATAGAAAGTAAGTAGTCCAATGTGCTGAGAAATTATGATACCGAGTTCTTGGTAGCATGTCTTTAGTGCCTCTGTCCATATGGGTTCTTGATTTTGTAAACTCAAATGTTGACTTAGAAGTCCCTAAGGATAGTGCTGTATGATGAAGACCTGAAGGAAAAGAGGATTGATTGAGGAAAACAAAGTTGGCTTTCAGGTATCTGGGTCTAATTTGTAAAGGTTGTTGGGCATCCCCCAGGACTGAGGAGAAAACTGTCTTTTGTGTTGTTCCTAGAGGTTTATAACTTCTAAAACGTCTAAAACCTTCTTCGGGTATACCATCACTGCAAACCTTTAGGCTGTGTCCATAGACAGAGAGGATTTTATCATGTGGGAGAGGACTTGAATATTCAAGAGAAGATTCTGTGGAGATGTGTACCTTAAGGTCACACTAAAGCCACGGTGGCTTTAAATCCTTTAGGACCCCTTTAGTAGGAAATGTAGGCTGCTGTCTCTCCCACTCCCCCGTCCCATTCCCTCTATTAGGGAGTGGTTCCAGAGCTTCCTACATCTGCAGCCATTGTGGCATCTTTTGAGAGTCTTCATAGGTGGTAAAAGAAATTCTGGGCATTAAAAGTAGACTTAGTAATGTTCAAAAAGAGTATTTGTCCCTCTACCTGCTAGGTAGAATGAATAAAAGTGGTAAAAAACAAAAACAATTCAGGCTGAGAATTATAGATTTCAAAAAGAAATCAATGGAATGGATTTTCTTGGCTGGTCTGCAAAATGATCCTGAAGAAGTTGCTTTGAAATTGAGGACTTAAGAAATTTTTGAACAATGATTAGTTATCCTATCTCATGGTGCTTTTATTCAGGATTAGCTTACCTATGGTGTATTTGTGAATATTACAAGTTAAACTAAATCATGCTCCTTCCCTACCTTCCTCCTTTTCACACTCTCACAGCTTGTGTGCATTTGGCTTGGCAAGGGAGGGGAGAGGATGGGCTGACCCGCAGCCGGGACAGCCCTCTGCTGGCTATAAAGGGGAACACATTGAATACTCAGGTAGATTCCCCAAGGGAGCCCACAGCCCACATTTTCCTGCTTCCTTCCTGTCTTGGGGGTTCTGCATAAGAAGTCCTGAGTTGAACTGGGACTAATGCCCATTTCAAGCCTTCCCTACCCATCATTCTAGAAACTTCTGTTTGTTGTACAGGACCCAAGCAAAACATGACCCACAAAATCAACTTGGGTTTTGTGGATTAAAGAACATTATTTGAGAAAGCATGACTTCTGTTCCTCTCCCATGTATTTACCAACACGCTTTGACCGCCTGTATTTATATTTTTCACTCATAGGGGAAGTTGCATGATCCTCAACTTATGGGCATTATACCGAGGATTGCACATGATATTTTTGATCACATCTATTCCATGGATGAGAACCTGGAGTTTCACATCAAGGTAAGTGCTTTTAACTAAGAACAAGACAGGAGAGGTCCTAAGTCACATTTATCAGTCTTCCTCCTTTCAGATAGATATAAAAGATGCTCTCTTTTCACTCAAGTGTCATTCTGTTGGAAGCAGGCCCTACCCATACTTTTAATGATTTGGGTCAGTACCAAGGTTTTGGAATGGTTTGCTTGAAATAGCAACATAAAGAAAGCATAAGCCCCTTATAGGATTTAATCATCTTACTCATTACTGGGATACTCACCATTTCCTATTAGTTTCTGAAGATAGGCCAGGAGTAAGTCTGTGTGTATATGTTGGGTTGTCATTCCCCAATATGAAGTTTATGGAACCAGTTGTGTTACCAATAGGGGAGCTGCCAGAGGAAAGTATCACATGGCTAGAGGAACTCAGAAAATGCTTTGTTGACCAGTGCTAAACTTACTACATGCTGTCTTGAATAATATGACTCTTAAATGGAATGCACACTCCCCACTCTCCTGTATAGTGAGTGACTCATTGAGAAGTATTGGAAGGTAATTCTCTTACCCCTTTTCCTCTTTCTCCTTGTTACTAGTTTATTTTAACACCGACCTCGCTTAAGTTTTAATTGAAAGGGAGACTTCTACTCTATTACTTTAGTCATTAAATCAAAAAATTTGAATTCCTTTGTAAAATCCGGGAGGGCTACTTGTTCAAGCAGAGAGACATGTCCTAAGGTAAAGATTGTGTGGCTGGTATGGGGCAGGCTGTGGAGATCAGTGAATTCCAGCCCTGGCTTTTCCTTTCTTTTTAAAGTTAAAAAAAAATGAGATGTAGTTCATATGGCATAAAAACAATCCTTTAAAAACATAGTTTTGTGAGTTTACTATATTGCCCAAATTGTATAGTTATCGTCCTTATCTAAATCTTTAATCTTTCCTTCACTCCTGAAACAAACTGTACCTTCTATCCCTGTTCATCAATACTTAACTTGCCTCTTTCTCTGATTGTGGACTACCTCTGTTTGGCTGGGAGGGCCTTGGGCAGCATGGCAACCCCTTGTTGAATGTTTGTAATTCTGCATTCTACTGGGAAGGGGATGACTGGCCAATCTAGAGCAGTCCCTGCCCTGCTTTTGTGTTCCCAGATCCACACTGTCTGGTTCTCCATCTTTGTGACTAGAGGTGTTGAAGGGCAGGAAGGGGAGACGCTGTTCTAAGAAGGCTTAGAGATGAGTTGATCAGTGGTCCCTAAAGCCTGACTGTTAGTACACATGACCCAGTGGGTTAGTATCGAGGAAGAGGAACCTCAGACATAGACCCTAGCACCAAACTGATACTTAGCAACCGTTTCATTGTATTAGGCTTTTTTTTCTGGGCTGGTAAGGTGGCTCAGTGGGTAAAAGCATTTGCTGCCAAGCCTCATGATCCAAGTTTAATCTCTGAGTACCACATGCAGAAGAAGAATTGACTCCCACAAGTCATTCTCCACATGTGTACCCAGGCTCAGGCCCTTCCCACATCCACAGAAAAGAAACAAATGTAGCAATCAAACATTTTCAACCTCTCCCCTTATTTATTTCCACAACAGACTGTTCCTAAATTTACATTCCAAAAGGCCATTGCTGGCTGTTTGCTCAATTATGAATTACATCCAGCACGTCACGTGTCCCTGTGCTGTGAAAGCTTGCTTCTTACCCCTAGCAGGCTTCCTGATGTCTGAGGCTACAGAGCTTGTTGCTTTGATGGGCTCAAGATTTAGAGGCTTAGTGCTTCTTTAAGGCTGTTTACGATGACACACTTTAAACTACTGCAGAGGTCTTAAGTGATAATCCTGAGTAAGATGTTAAACCAATTACCACCCTGAACCAGTGTCTTGTGTCAGAATCTTATTACGATTAAGAACGGTGCTGGCTTGAAATGGTGGGGGAGGGGAAGAATATTTCCTGTCTCTAGTGTTAAGTTTTACCGTGCAGGTTCCCATCATGCATTTCTTAGTTGAATTTGCTTTCCTATTAATAAGAATTGTAAGTGGACGACTTAGCTGTGTGGACTCCGAATTCTGAATTTACCTGCTAACAGGCCAAAAGAGGCCCTGTTAAAACAGTGTGGAAAATCTGCTTCTTAATGCGTCCCACTAAGGTTTTGAAATGTTATTTCTGATCATGATCTTGTTCACCACCAAGCAGTGCCTATGGTGTTCCTTCCGCCTGGTCTCACAAAGCATTCTTAATAACAAAATGAATTTTGACACTTCACAAAAGCAGAAATGAATAAATCAGAATTCCATTTTAACTTGTATTAAATGTGAACAGGAATTTAATTGCCAGGCTTGGCAGTACATGGCTCATGACTACTTTTTAGATGTAATTAATTTTCTCTGTAATTTGTGGAAGTAAAATCACATGTTTAGGATCTCCCAAGGTTGAGGGTGAATATGACCAAAATGCATTGTATGAATGTATGAAATATACTAAGTTAAAAAAAATCTCAGAGGTAGTGAGAAATCTTAGTGGCAGTCAATCATGAACTGGAATAGGTTGGCACCAGAATAGGGCTGGCTGCAGAGAAGGCCTAGTTAGAAGTGACTAAAATTGGGCTTGAGGACTGGATAATGGGGAATATGACAACTTGAAAGATTAGTGAGAGCAGTTAGGGGCTGGTTTAGCTCAGTGGTAGAGTACACGCCTTGCATGTGTGAGGTCCTGGGTTCAAGCCCCAAGGATAACCTCTAGACAACCAGAACAAACTAGCAAAAACAAAGAGCTGGGAAGAGGGAGCAGAGAGACTTCTGATTGCCAGGTAGGAGTTTGCAGAAGAGATGGAATAAGTAATTGGGCAGATGAACAGGCTATTAGAGGTACAGGTATCCAGGATCAGGCTCCATGACACCTAGCTGCTGCTTGTAGATTTCAAAGCAAAGATCTTAAAGCTGCCAGGAACTGGGAAGTGGGTGGTTCCAGATAGTGGCACACAAGAGACAATGAGCCAGGGCTAAGCTGGGAGAGACATTAGTGCGAGAGCCGAGGACTCTTCACATTCCAAAAATTAGTGGTAGGGTTTGTCTTGTCCTGATTTACCTGGGGAGGCAGAACCCAGTTTTCCAACAGTCATAATCATGGCTGGCCTAACAATGGGGGCACATCCTGAGAAATCTGTAAGATAATTTTATCATTTTGTAAGCATGGTAGATAGCTTCTGCTAAACAAGGTGTCTGTGATATCATTGGACAGTATGATCTCATGGGACTGCTACCACATATGTGGTCTCTAATGTTATTATGTAGCCCACATGTATATTTTTCTTCTGTCCATTCTCTTATTTGTATTTCAAAGATGCTTATGAGTTTGTGGGGAAGTTTATCTGGGAAGAAAGAGTCAGATCCAAACTGTGCAAAATCCTGGAGAGAATTTTTCACATCTTAAAGACTAATGGCTTCATTTGCCAGTGAGGAAATTTAGGCCATCTGTGCATTAAATTTCTCAGAACTCATTCTTAGTTTAAGCATTTCATTACTTCGGTTATCAGATGAGTCACCTGGGGATTTAGAAGTCCATCTCTGGGTTCTAGTATCTGAGACTGTGCTCTGGTACCGTTGTGGTAGTTTTCAGGATTCTGTGGTTCTTTAGCATATGTTGTTATAATTGGGGCTGGGCTAAGGCTTGAGAATCATTTAGAAGGCTTTCTTTTCCTAACAAAGTCTAATTGCCTTTTAACTCTGTAGTCCTGGCTGGTCGTAGATTCATGACAGTCCTCTTGCTCAGCCTTCTGATCTGGGATTATAGGCATAAGCACCACACCTGGGCAGTCATCTTCATTAAACCACATTTGTTCCAATCTATCAAAGACTCCAATCCTGGCTACCTTCAGTAGTACTCTCCCAGGTATCTTCCTGAGCCCCTGTAATCCCAAGCCTCTGTAGCTTCTCCTTGCTTCCTTCATGTTTATGTATAAGCTGTGTTCGCATGAATCTGATGAAGCTGTGGCATCATGCAGTCGGGTGAGGTCTATATGAACATCACTGGTTTAGGATGTTTTCCCTTTTGGCTGTTGCCATACATGGACATTAACTTGGTATTCAGTTAAGGTGGAACTTGAGTCCTCTTTAAGAGTCTGTCTAGCATCTGAGTGGAACCAAGAGGAGCCAAAAGTGTGGAGCTCCTGAGTGGTCCATGTTTGACAGATGCATAGTCACATTGACCAAGCAGGAGGAACACATGAGGGTTGGCTGCAGCTCTATGCTCAGAACTCTGACCTTCACTTGGTGCCCCCTTTTCTCAGCCATAGCAAAAGCTTTTATGAGTTTAATGGTGATGTTTTTGAAATGTGGTATGGTATTTCTATTTCTATTCCAATTTCAATTTCTCTTTAACTAGGTTTCCTATTTTGAAATCTACTTGGACAAAATAAGGGACTTACTTGACGGTAAGTTACAACTGAATGTGACTATGTGTGCTCTGTAATTGAAGTTGGGGGGCGGAGTTGAGATGAGTTAGGGCACTTCTGCCTGGGCAGCTGATGCAAATGTAGAGAGATGTTTGCCTTCAGGCTGTGTGCTCTTCTCAGCCACAGCTTAAACTTGCAAATTATGAAAGGATTAGACTTGCCTATCTTCTTTAAGCATTGCTATTCTTCTTACAATACAGGTTTTTTTTTTTAACTTCCCTTTTCTTCTTTATATGCCATCATTTTTGTCATTACAGTGTCCAAGACCAACTTAGCTGTTCATGAAGATAAAAACAGAGTCCCCTATGTAAAGGTATGAGAATGGTTGGGGGTGATGCCACTAACTCTCCCTAGTCACTGTCACTTGAGAGCTATAAAGAGTACCCAAAAGGCATTGTTAACCCTGAGCCTTATTTATACTATTGATTGGCTCCAAAAATTAACATTTACTTTCTTCAGCTGTAGCTTTCTTGCATGTAAATGGTTTTTATTGTATTTTGGTGCTGGGGATTTAACACAGTCCTCCATGTATAAGCTATGAGCTATCACACCCAGCCTTCTTTAGGAAAGCTATTATTTAATATTACTATTTAGTATTGCTTATTTTAAAGAGGTTTGGGGATTGAATGCAATGGTTTATGCTTTGTACCTCGTTGAAGTCTATTGTAGCATTATGTGTACTCTGTTGATGACTGAAATGGTAAATACTGATGGCAGGTGAGGAAGTACATTCTCATTTCTTTTCCTCTTATAGATTTTCTTTTATTTTCTGCCTCCTGAAAGTACTGCTGGAGGGTATGAGCATGATCTTAAAAAGAATTTCCTCCAGCTTTACATCTAGTTTTCCCAGGGCTAGCTCATACTTCTCTTTAATGTAGAATCCAAGCCCCAGGCAAGGAGGAAACCCTGTGGGCTTGCATCACTCCCTTTCTGTTTACCTGTACCGTTGGGGGTGGAGGGACAGAGAAGCTGCTCTAAAATGCTGATGCTTTTCAGTTGTTGGAGTGGCCAACCTGACTTGTTTTTGACTCTTGCAGGGGTGCACTGAGAGGTTCGTTTCAAGCCCTGAGGAGGTCATGGATGTGATAGATGAGGGCAAAGCAAACCGACATGTGGCTGTGACAAGTAAGTGCTGTGGTGATGTTAATGCTATCAGATTGGATCCCAATATCTGCCCTCTGTGCAGGAAAGCTGGATGATGAGGCACATGTGTTGTGTGCCTGGAAAGGCAGCAGAGAGTTGCATGCAGACAGACCCTGGCCCGTATGCAGTGTGATTATATGCAGTAGTCTGAAGTCTTGAAGTGATGGGTGAGATTCCTTGGGGTCTGATAACAGGTTCTAAAAAAAAAAAATCCGAGCTAATAAGTTCATGTCAAACACAAGGAAAAACTACTTGGCTTCCTCCTCTGCAGAAGGAGAGTAAAGGCAGACAAGAGTCAGAGCTGGCAGCTTCCAAGAAATCCCTCTAGCAAACACTTACTGTAGACACACTTGCTCGCAGAATCTAAAGTGCCTGGCATGGGCACCTGGGTCACATTTCTGTGTCACATGTGTCTTGGAGCAGCAGAGTCTCTTTAGAGAGACTAGGGCTATCCTTTCCAGAGGGATGTGAACTAAAGAGTATCAGAGCTTGGTTCCCACAGAGCTGAAGGAACCAAGAATTTCTAGTTTGGAGGAGAAAGAGAGGATGTAAGGGCCGTGCAGTGCATCAGTGTTCTCCTGGGTTCTGATGCTAAGGAAGCTATGATGTACTGCTGAGACAGGGAGGCAGGCAGACAGGCTTGAACACCTGACAGCACTCCCTGCCCCAGGGGAGCCTGCTGCCCAGGAAGGGAGCTGGGGTACTGTATAGAAGAGATTCAAGCACTAGTAGAGGACTGGTCTAGACTCTTCCAGCAGCTGATCTCAGACTCCCCCATGGATGGGTTCCAGGTCTGTGATCCAGAACTGAAACTCTTAACCTCTTCTCTGCCCTATAGCTTGTCAGATGGGTGCTCATGGATGTGGCAGTTTTCAGAGCTGACCTAGACTTGCATCCAGTTTAGGAAAACATTGATTCTCTCTGTCCTGCCTGAAACTTGCATGTACACATTGAAACTTTCTCACTGTGTCTGTTAAGCTCAGTCGTGAATTTTATTCACGGTGTCCCAGAGTTGGGCTACCAGCTTTAGAGCTGAGGGTCTACAGTGTTTCTAGTGTTATCATTCTGTCAAGGTTTTTCCCACATTATTTATTTGTGAGTGTGTGTGCTCATACGTGCCTATGTGTAAATGTACTTGTCAAGTTAGAAGACAATTTCAGGGAGTGGGCCCTGGAAACTGAACGCAGATGTCAGGCTTGACAGCAAGCATCATTTCCCATTGAGTCATCTCACCAGCTCTGTCTGTGTTTTAGCATGGTAAGTATAGTTATCCGTGCTCTGGCATTGAGTCCATTTGCATTGTGGGCAACATTCCACCATCAGTCTCCACGTTCCCATCTTCCCCAGCTGAGACTTGAATTCAGGTTCTCATACCTTTGCAGCAGGAGCTTTGGTAACTGCTCATCTCCTGTTTTAATTTTCAAGATCAGCTTGACTATTCAGGATGTTGTGAGATTCTGTATGAATTTTAAAATTTTAGGATAGATCTATCTCTGTAGAAAGTGTCATTGAGATTTTGCTACAGTTGAATTGCATAGATTATTTTGGCTAATATTTACATCTGGTTTTTATGTGTTTACATGTGTGGTGTGTGTAAGCAGGATAACACATGGGCAGGTCCATGCACATGGTGTGTGTGTGTGTGTGTGTGTGTGTGTGTGTGTGTGTGTGTGTGTGTGTGTGTGTGTGTATAGCCTGAAGTTGATGTTGGATATCTCTTTCACTTTTCCTAACATTTTAAGTTTCTTGAGGCAGCCTCTCTCATTGACACAGAACTTACCAGTTCCAGCTAGTCTAGCTAGCAAGCTTGCTCTGGGCCTCATCTGTCCCTGCCTCCCCAGGGTTAGGACTGCATATAGCTGCTATGCCTGCCCAGCTTTTATGTGGTTTCTGGCACATAAACTCCAGTCCTCATACTTGTACAGCAAAGCTTCATCTTTTAAAGCCATCTCCTCTGCCCTAATTTTGATGTCTTATCACTATTTAATCTTTTAGTCAGTTACCGTGGGGTTCTATTTCCATTCATCTGTATCTGTTTTAATATCTTTTAAGCACCACTTTGTAGCTTTTGTCTAAAAACCTATCCTTTATTGCTATTGTAAATAGATTGTCCTCTTAATATTTCTGGTCAGCCATTGTTAGTAATATAGTTAGTGAAACGTAAATGCTGTTTACATTTTGACTTTGTAGCATGCGATGTTGCTAAATTTGTTATTTGTGACTTTTTGGTAGTGGGTTTTCTCGACCAAGATTCTCAGTGTAGCCCTGGCTGTCCTGGAATTCACTCTGTAGACTAGGCTGTTCTTGAACTCAGAGATCTGCCTGCCTCTGCTTCCTGAGTGCTGGGATTAAAGACCCGGCATTTGGAATTTTTAAAATGATCTTCAGAGTTTTTAGGAACAATCTGGTAAGATACTTTTTGAGAGACAGTGAAAGTTGAATGGGACACTTGCTGGGCTATGGTGGAAAAGGAAGCATCTTTCCCTGATACCCTGACATAATGAGCCACATTTAATCCTTGAGGGTTCTTTGTGTTTAACATGAGTTATAGAGGTGTGTTTTAATCTTCCTTTAAGTCAGTTTCTGATGTCCCAGCAATCCCAGGGTACACACATGAGCAGGACAAACTGAATTAGACACTACACTGTGATAAAGTTGGAGGCTTTCCACAGGTCAGTCAAGGAAGCTGTGAGAATCTTGGTGGGTGAAGCTAGAGTAGGATATGGGATTCAGGGCATCTGGCAGATGATGGGAATGTTACCTTAAACTGCTCTACAAGAATGCTAGGTTAATTCCTTTGTTCCTTGAAGACATTGTAAATCTATCATCTCTAGAATGAATGGGGGGTTTTTTCCTTCTTTTTTCTTTTTGAAAGTAGAAACAGTGGCTTCGATACATTCTAAAGTTAGCTGCACTGCCTGCAGAGAACTGCAACAGTGTGACATGATTGGTTGTGTTTTAAAGAGCAGAGGTTTGCTACCTCTGCTCATGTGCTCTCTGTAGAGCAGTAAACCATGTTTCATTTCAGACATGAATGAACACAGTTCGAGGAGTCACAGTATCTTCCTGATTAACATTAAACAAGAGAATGTGGAGACTGAAAAAAAACTCAGTGGGAAGCTGTATTTGGTTGACTTGGCTGGGAGTGAAAAGGTAATTGGTTCTTAGTTACATTATCTATAATTTCCCCGTTATTTGCTCAAGTGTACAGTGGTATAATTTTTGTGCCTTTTACTTCCTGATTTTAAAGAGGTTTAAAATATTGAGGTACAGTACTGTCAAGTCTCTTGGTTTTCTCGTTTTCTTTTCTGGTCTGAAAGTTCCCTGTATGTTATGTTCATTTATGCTTAGTAGGGCCTATGGCATTAAGCAGGGTTAGACTGGCAAGACAGCTGCCCAAGGTAGCTACACAGCCTCCCCTTAGGATGGAGGGAAGCCATCTGTTGTATGGACTCCATTGGGCTAGGAAGGGCTCTGCCATTGGACCATGGTGGCCCTGCTTCTGCAGCTTTGCCTTGCTGAGGAAAGGTCTGGAACCTTGGCCCTCCTAGTGTTCCATTTCTACTGGTAGTGGATCTGAAGTGACAGTCTCATATGTATGACATTAATTCCACTGGGTTATGAAGCTTTCTTTTGTTTTGTTGTGACCCTCCTTACACACTGTACTCCATTCTATACCCCCAGGAACTGGCTAAGAATCACCACATCCAGAATCACCACCTTCCCTCCCTGCCCCCTCCACAGCACCAGGGATGTTTCCATGTCCACACTCTGGCAGGACACAACCCCTTTAGACAGCATCATAGAGCAGTGCACACGCACAATGCCTCTTCCTACATTCACCAGTGACATCAGCTGGATGTCCTCATCAGTCTACCTAGCTGTACAGGTGACTCCCACTTACTGCCACTTACTGCCTCACTTTGCTAAGTTCCTGAACCCTAACTATGGCTACGGACATCCACGTAAGTCATGGCTGTTTGAATAGCCCACTTACTTGCCTTTATCCCCAGGGAAAACCATTGGATATTCCTGGCTGCCATCTTAAATGTTTTATGTGTGAGCTGGCTACATTCTCAATCACTCTCCAGGATGAAGGCCACTCGTTCTGCTCTAGCCTGACCACTAACTTGACTGCTATGCCCGGCACAGGCCCATGAAGAGAGCCATGTGGAAATGTGTTATTTAGGGATGAAATACCCCTGACAGCTGCCTCCTGCTGGCAGTTGTCACTTCCTGCTAATGGCACAAGATATTTCAAATGTCCCTTCTATAGTTTTGTTTGTTCATGTCTGTTTTCCTTTTCCCTAAATGAATCCGTATGAATGTGCTATCTTGAGAACAGAGCTCTGGCTTTAGTTCCCATCACCCCAAAGGGCCATCCTTCCCTCGGGCTGGCAGAATGACATCTCTGGAGCTCATTGTCCTTGCCTGCCAATGGAAGGTGATAGACAGCCCCTTTTCTGAATATCTCATGGAATTAAGATGCCCAAATTAGAGACCATCTAAAAACTCCCGCATCTCTCCCTGATGTCTCACTCTGCAATCAAGCTGCCCTCCACAGTTCCAGGATAGAAGTTTGTCCTATATTCTGAACCACCCCGCCTCAACATTCCCCTCTGTAATTGAGGGTGCTCTCCATCATACGTATTTGAAGTCTGTCTTTGTTCAGTTTAAGTTATTTCTCCTCTTTTCTTTTTTAAGAGAGCAGCTGTTCATCCTGTAGCTTTTGCCTAGGCAGCCAGGACAAATGTTACTGAGTGCCCTCTCCTTTGAAAAAAAGTTGGCAGGATTTGTAAACCTCCCTACCTAGAGTATATGCTGTAAATGTGAAATTATCTGTACTAATATAGTAGAGGAGGCACCGTGTGTGGAGGACTGTAGAAGAAAACCAAATTTACAGGGTAACATATAAGTCTTTTGCATTTTAGATATCCCTCCCTCCCTTTCTTAGTTCCCCCACTCCCTCCCTCCTTGCTCAGGAAATAAGTAGAGAAGGAATAGTTCCAATACCTATTTCTTTAGTCCTTTGCCTGAAATTGGGGCTCGAAATGTTTTCCTCACTGTGCTCCGATGGACCCCATCAGACTGGGAGACTGTGGTTTAGTCCCACAGGACTCAGCTCACCGTGGTGACAGCACTTCAGGAGCCTGGTTTTCCTCGATGGATGTCCCCCGGGGAAGTATCTACAGTTTTCCCACTTGAGGCATTTCAGCCATTCCACTAAAACCCAATTGAGAGGAAAATGACAGCAGGAGAGACCAAACTGTCAGCTCCTGGCTCCAGGGACAGCTGGATCGTTGTGGTTCTCACTCAGTTCTTTCCCTGCTTTCCTGGAGGGTCTGCCTGCTGCCCCTCCATGAGTTTGCATTTTCTGCTCTCTGCTGTCCCTGCCCTCACTGCCTTTTCTATCCTCGGGTAGGTCAGCAAAACTGGTGCCGAGGGAGCTGTTCTGGATGAAGCTAAAAATATCAACAAGTCTTTGTCTGCTCTTGGAAATGTGATCTCTGCCTTGGCTGAAGGGACAGTAAGTAATCCTGTCGCCATCTATTAAATAGTATTAAGGGAAGCTGCCTTTGGGGTTTGTGTGTTCTCTTTGCCACAGACATTTATTTGCTTTCCTCTTTGGAAGAGAGCAGGGGAATTCCTGGCTGGGTCGCTTGTTGCTGGGAGATCTACTCCACTAGAAATTGTGAATGGTGATGCTAACTTCCAATGATGTGGGTCAGAGTGGACATTGGCAAGCTCCAAAGACCTGGCTGCAAATTCTTATTCCACATGCTTCTAAGTTTGGCTTGCTTGCTTCTGTAGTTTTTCTTTGAATGGGCTGTCAAAACCGATACTCCTTCTTTCTTAAATAGAAAACACATGTGCCATACCGGGACAGCAAGATGACTCGGATTCTCCAGGACTCTTTGGGTGGGAACTGTAGAACCACAATTGTCATTTGCTGTTCTCCTTCCGTCTTCAATGAAGCTGAGACCAAGTCCACGCTGATGTTTGGACAGAGGTGCGTGTGGGGTCTCGGAACCCATGCTCTGAGCTAGGTTATAGTTCTTAGGTGTGAATGACTTTGGGCAATGGTCAGAGGGGCAATAATTATTACATTGCATCTAGCAGATGACCTGTAAAGTCGAGGCATTATTTACTGAGGGATTATGTTTTCAGTGGTGGTTAGCAATGTGCCTGTTGGAAGAGTGTTGATGAATAAAACAAAACAAAACAAAGCACCCAACTTCTTGCTTCAATAGCTTTGTTTTTCATGGACTTGAAGTTTAGCCTTTAGCTGTATACAATTTCACATCTGTAAATCTGAAGATTGATAACTACTTTTAGCTCTGGAATCTGAGATCCATTGCAAAGTGCTCATAAAAATCATCAGGAACTTAGATAAAGGCAGAGTAGAGGCATGAATAACAAGGGAAAGGAATCAGATGCGTTAACTCCAAGGGTGGGAGGCGTGGGGTGTATATGGAGGAGAAGGGAGGAGGATGACCACTTCTCGTTGTTTGAAAAGCCCAGGTCAGCATGCCCTGCCTCTGCGGATTGTAGCAGGTGGGCGGGCCTGAAGGGCTTGGTAATGAAAGCAATCTTCCAGTGTGTGGGTGGGTTCTTACCTTCCTTGCCTTTCTTAACACACTCTTCCTCACCCACCTTGCCCTGTTGCCCACAACCGACCTCTTTCAGTCTTGTTTGCTTAGTTTGCCACCTCCATCTTCTCAACTGTGTTTTTTGGAGGTTTGGTTACCTAAGCCTGTGATGCTGAGGTTTTTGATGATCTGAGCATCTTTGGTTGCACGGGGCTGAGTTGGGACAGATGTTGTGAGATGAGGATTCCCTTACCATTGTTACATTCAATGTTGCCAGCTGATGAGCTGTGTCTGCGGCCCTTATTGCCTTGGGTGTTAGTGGTTTTCCCAGTGCTCCCCTGCTTTAGTCACAGGAGTATGTGATGTATGGTTATGCCCAAGAAGTAGTTTCAGATGGGGCACATGGGGTGGGCATTCTCTATGGGAATTGTTACAACGTGTTTGAACTGCATCATATCCTAGTCACATCCTCAATAGACCATAGGATTATTCAGCTGTCTAAATAATATTGTAGAACTAATCTGTCTTTTAAACCAGATTTGGGTCCTTCACTTATCCTAAATGACTTCCTTGATTAGGCTAAAGCTTGAGGCAGTGGCATTATAGTAGGGTGAAACCTTTGTTTCCTGGCCATTTGAGCCATTCTCTCCTTGACTTCTCTGAGCTTCACATCTCTTTGCCATAGAGATGGAGTGGTTCCTTCCAAGGACATTTGGAGGATGATCGAGCTGTTTCCATTTTCTCCTTGCCCAAGGGCTGGCTCAGAGGGGGTTACCACTGATTTCAAGCTCACCTTCTACCATAAACTCTCCAGTGGTATTGAAGTATGGAAAGGTCATAGTAGTAGATAAGACTAGACTACAAATAGGGGACGACATTGTAGTATAAGGGACAGGTTTGAATGAAATAGAATTTCACTTATGGAACTAATGGGTGAAGAAATACTATAGGTAATTTAGGATTCTGGCAAATAAAATGTAACTTTAAATATGTTTCCAGATGAAATAGTTGGCCTGCTTCTTTTATCAGACCCTGAACTACAGGAGAACAGAGAGTACATTTGCCATTGGCATCTGTTTTCCAGCATGGGAAGTATACAGTAGGTGATTAATAAGTACATGCTTAGTGAACAAGGAAGCAAGCCAGCCTCAAGTTCATGGTGCAGGATCCTTGCTGAGCTGTGTCATCATTGCCCCTAAAAATTGGCCTGGGTTTGAAGCTAGTTTGCCTTCTTTCTAGTCAGTAGTCAGAAATATGTGATAGTTTGTTCCTTATTTCTCTACCCACATGTTAATTGCCCTTTAAGGATAGTGGATTTTTCTATGAACCTTCTGTTTTATTAACTATACCCATTGAACCCAGTTATACAGCAGAAATGGGTCTCAACATCAGGTTAGACATGGAATCTGATAGATGATAAGATTAAGCACTTCAAACTCGGAAAAGCTGCCGAGTGTGTCCCAAGTGCCAGATAGCCAGTGTTCATTTTGTTCTTGTTGCAGAGCCTTGGGTAGCATAAGTTCTATGGTTCGCTCAAGGATGTAAGGGAAGAATATGTTTTTCCTGGGCTGAATAAACAACACCATGTGCTTTGAAGTTGTAGAAAGGCAACAGGGTCTACAGGCGCCTGAGCACAACCCTGCCAAGACCCCAGCCAGCCTCATGTGCTTTGAAGTTGTAGAAAGGCAACAGGGTCTACAGGCGCCTGAGCGCAACCCTGCCAAGACCCCAGCCAGCCTTCCTTACGATCCTAGGTTTAGTACTGGATTCAGCCCCCCCCCAAAAAAAAATCATGCTGTCTAGGCCTTATTTGACCGAGCTTGTCCCTTTAGCACTCTGCCAGCACAGAGGTGGATAAGTCTGTGTATCAGAGAGCAGCAGGTAGTCCAGACACCTGACAAAACGCCAAATTAAGACATTTTTGTGTTTTTTTTCTGTTTGTTTCTAGACTCCAGAATTTTAGTCTTTAGTTTTTAATTGCTCTTCCATAGTATTTTCCTAGCATTTTTCAAAAAAAAGATATTTGTAACTTTCGGATGTATGAACTCAAGTCACCCCATTATCTTGGAAGTCTGTTTAATGTGTTAGGGGGAGGAGTGAAGGAAAGAGGGCCCTTGCACCAATCAGTGCAAGAAGGCCTGAATCAGTATGCCTTTGGCCAGCATGAATCCTTTAGCCTGTTTGTATGTTGCATGTGAAAGGGGACTGATAACTTGAGAAGATTAATGGTCTTTGTATTCCTGGTGTGCACTGCTTTCAAAAGGACACCATGCTATCCTTTTAATTAAGCCACCTGCCATAGCGACAGCTGGATTCAGCAGAAAAGGACACCATGCTATCCTTTTAATTAAGCCACCTGCCATAGCGACAGTGGATTCAGCAGACTGAATAGTGTACATGTAAAATTCATGTTACAAGTATGTGTGAACAAATTGCCTGCAGAGACAGAGCAAGCAGTTTAGTTAAGGCAAACACTTTAGTGCACTTGACATAAAACCTCCATTCACTTCTGATGGAGGACCTGTTGCTGGGACACCAGAGGGGTGATGGAAGCTCATGGAGGAAGAGATGCTGTGTGGTCTAATTTTATCAGAGGCCAGCTCATCACTGGTCATCAGGGCTTTAATTTCTCCTCACTGACTAGCCCCTTCTCTTAGAATAGGACTAGCCCCTTCTCTTAGAATAGGGAGCTCTTTCCAGGCCTGAAGAGTGCTTTGGATCAGAAATGTGTTCTGAGGAAAGGGTAGATGTTTACACAGCAACTGAGACTCAGGGCAGATCAGAATTATGGTATTAATTTCACACCCAAATACGTGGCAGACTCTTTTTAGTTTTTTGAGGCAGGGTTTCTCTGTGGCTTTGGAGGCTGTCCTGGAACTAGCTCTTGTAGACCAGGTTGGTCTCAAACTCACAGAGATCTGCCTGCCTCTGCCTCCCAAGGGCTGGGATTAAAGGCGTGTGCCACCAACGCCCAGCTATGTGGCAGACTCTTTAATCAAACACTGATCTAGCTATTGCTCTGACAGTAGTTCTTAGATGGTTAATGGCTGTACTCAGTTGACCGAGTCAAGTAGATGACCCTGGGTAATGAGCATGGCTCATTACCTCTGATCATTCAGAGTCACTGAAAAGCAAAACCTGGGGTTACCCAGGAAGAATTGAATACATGCTTGCACCTACATTTCCAGCTGGCTGCTTAGTTTTGATGGCCCCCAAAGACACATGAGCCAGTTTCCTTAGACAACTAAGAGAAGAATACATTGTATGTCTAATGGGGTCTATATCCTTATCACTCTCTGTTTCCTTGGTAACCTCTGACAGATGGAGATGGAAAGTGGCACTACCCTCCTACCCTCCATAGAGGGCGCTGCAGTCTCCCTCACTCTTCCCTTCTTTCCCTCTCTCTCCCAAAACTTACTGTGTAAAGTGTGCATTCATGGACTTTTCAATGCATTAAAGGTGTGGGGTGGTCCAGAGCTCCTTATTCAAATACTGGCACTGTCTGGAACACCTGTGGATCAGAGGAAGCTGCTGAAGCGAGAGGTACCATGATCCAGCATCCTCAGTTCCTTAAGGAGGCCAGAGTGGTTAGAAGAGACTCTATAGATAGCCAGTATGCTTGTCACTCAGAATCATTACCAGGGCGTGTAAGTTAAAGAGATCAATGAGGAAACAGGAAAGGGTGGGACTTGCCAGGGTGTAGAGTGAGTCTAACCACTGACTGTTGGTCTCCTCTGAAACATGAGGGCTCTTTTCAGGTGCACATGATGGGATGCCTTCGTCATCAGGTGTTCGTGCCCAGCCTCAGCTGTTGAAGCTGACATGTGTAGTCCTCTCAGAACCTGAACATGTATTTCTTTGTGTGTGAACTGGACACTTGGGGATGGAGGGCCTGCTGGGTGCTGGGAAGGTAATGGATAATGCTTGAGAGCAGAAAGGTAGCTGTCTTCTTAGCATTCCTTGGAGACCTTTTTAAAGAGAATTTTTCCTAATATAACCATCTCGGTGTTTGCATCCAAGTGAATGTGTGCTGTGTCTTCTGATTACTGTTGGCTGCACTTGGAACTGTCTTCCCTGAGGCAATAGCTTTAAGGACCTAAAAAAAAAAAAAAAAAATTGGCCTCATTCCTCTCCGGAGGGAGAAGAGATCTGATACTCAGGCAAACCCAGATGACATGTTACCGAAGTGGTATTTGAATCTCTGCAGCAAGGCAACACAAGGAAAGCTGTAAACAGATTCTGTTGGCGTCCACATAGTGGACTTTGTCGTGCCAAGTGGATCTTTTAGAGCAGAAGCAGAAACATGGATTCTTCCTCCAGGGAGCCATTGGTTAGGATTTTGCTGGGGTTCTAGCTGTAAATAGGCAAATGTGTCAGCATGCATTAGGGTCAATCACAGGCTGTCACAGTTTCAGTAGTA